GCGAAATAGCTAGGCATGAGAGATTAGCACAAACTAATCTTTCTATCTCTTAATCTTTAAACGACAAGTCTTAATATATGTACAGATGATATAGATGTGTCTTCATTAATGATAGAAACTTAGAAAGTAATTAATATTATTTGAATTGATCTCAAACTGAAATGACGTCTACGATGATAAACTAACGAGAGACAAAACCTGATATGCCCAAAGTGGGTTCACTGTTGTGCTGTCCACATCTGTCTTGTTGAAACTCCTTGTGAACTGTTGGATTGAGAGATTGCCAGTGATGATTTCAATTAATTGGAGGTTAACATCATGTTTAAAGCCAAGTCAAAAAAACATTACCAAGTGCTCATTGCCATTACTTGAAATTTGATAAGAGAGCTTTGATTTTGAATCTTTATCACAGCTGTTTTAATTGAAACCTAATCGTTTTTTTCTTTAGAGATACTTGTATCTTTTAGTGGAAGTGGAATTGGAGGTTTAGATAGTTATCGAAAATCAAAACAACATTTCAAATATTTCAGTTTTCTATGGAAATACTGTTTATTAATCTTTTTTCCCATATGAGTTATTATTATTAAAAACTTGATAAAATACATAGCCGAATGAAAACAAAATTTTCTTGAAAGATAGTTCTGCGAAGCAATGTCTAAGATAACAATAATAGCTTCGCGAAGGAGAGAGAGACTAAGATAAACATCTATATAACGACATAATTTAGCCTATTTCCAAATTGGATCAATAACCAATTCTAGGAACAAAAGTCAAACCACTTCCGAGCCATGAACCAAAGAACTTGCATGCACACAATCGAGAAAACCAAACATGGCCAAAGCAAACGACGTCAATCCTCCTATGGCGAATAATCAACCTTCGCCATAGGTATTGTTTATTAATCAACCGATGCCAAAAAAAAAAAAATCAATAGTTGGTCGTTTTAAAAAGTGCAATAACTAGCAATAGCATTAAAGTTCGAACTATAAATATTTATAATTCATACAAATAGTATAAGAGTATACTATGTGGGACTAACGATTCAACTCTTAATTAATCAATTAACAATAAGTGGAACATCTATTTATACACAAAAATTTATATATTTTTGGGCTCACGATCCAACCAAACTTTGGACTTCATTCTACTTTTCCATCAAAAGAAAGTTTTAAACCTATTTACACCCGAATTAGAACTTCCAATCTCATAACACAGCCGGATTTTTGTATATGAGAAAAATAAATTGTTTTTTTGACAAAAAAAATATATAAAATTCGGCCCAAAACTCTTATCTTTCTTTGAATCTCATCTCTTAGGGAACATATTGAACCACAAATCGTTCTACATGTCCTATTTAAAAGAATACCTTCATAAAAAAATTAAAGAATACCTTCATTCGTCTGAAAGATATCACGACTGCGCAGTCGAATTTTATTTCGGAATAAATCATATTTTTCATATAGTGATACTTTTAGAGTATCTCCAACTCTACTTTATTCTTCACTTTAAAGTGAAGTTTTGCAATCAAATCTTCTCCAGCGCTACTCCATTTATAGCGTAAAAAAATGATTTTATTCCATATACC